TGAGAGAGAAATGAATTACAGTAGATGGGGTAGGGAGAGAAGAAGGAAAGGGAGGGGAGGGGGGATAGTAGAGGATAGGAAAGGCAGCAGAATACAACATACACTAGTATGGCAGTAGGTAAAAAAGTGGATGTGTAACTGATGTGAATCTGCAATATGTATATAGGGTAAAAATGGGAGTTCATAATCCGCTTGAATCAAATGTATGAAATATGATATGTCAACAGCTTTGTAATGTTTTGAACAACTAATAAAAAAAATTTTAGTATCAAAAAAAAAGTGAATTCCTTAACTTCAAATCTCTCTCCAGATATCAAATTATCTCTTTCCATGAATAGCCAGGAATTTTTGATCCAACAAACTTTTCCACTTTCTTACCTCTCATAGACCCTTCAACCCATTCCTGTCCTAAATTGTTCTTGCCATGGTTTTATTCAACTTCTTTGTTGCTATATTAAATGACTACTTCTCAGGCCTGTCTTGCTTAACCTCTTGACAGCAGTGGACAACATTGCCTTTCATTTCATGAAACATTCTCTTCCTTGTCTTTGCTGTTGGTTCACCTTTCTGGTTTTCCTACTTCTTAGACTTCTTCAGTGAACATCTCTTCTTCTGCCCATCTCTTACATGTTAATGCTTATTGGGGTTCTGTCCTAGTCTCCCTTTTCCTTCCATCTATACTCCACCACTGGATGTTCTCATCCCCTCCAATGGCTTCAAAAGTCAATTATATATTTAATAGTTCTTATATTGATCATCTCAGGTCCAGATCTCCCTTCCTCACCTTCAGAGTTTGTTTGTTTGTTTGTTTGTTTTTGCAGTTCTGTGGTTTTAACCCAGGGCCTTGAACATGTACACAATGCTCTACCTTGGAGCTACATCCCCAGCACTCCACAGATTTGTTTTCATTAACTAAATACTTTAAAGCTCCATTAGTATGCACGAAAGATTCCTCACACTCCATGTTTCAGCTTCCCCTCTAACCTAATTTCCATCTATATTTCTTATTCCAATGAATCACACCAAGTCAGAAACCTGAACCTAATCCTTGATTCTTTGCTTTCCCTATCCCCATACCCAGTGACCAAATCCTACTGATTCTGTCCAAGATATACCTTGATTCTATTATCCAGTTCTCTCCATTCTCACTACCATTATTCCAGACCAAATCACTTCCCTACTGTTAATATTGTTACCCTCAAATCAAGACTTCATAACATAGCTAGCATGATTTTTCTAAAACATAGTTGCAATTATGTTACCCTCTTCCTAAAACCCTGCAGTGGTTTCCTACTACTTTCAAGATGAAACCCTCAACATGGTTTACAAAGCCCAGTATCTTATCTCAAAACCAGTACCCAATTACCATATGCTCCAGCCATAATGAGTCCCTTTTAGTTCCTCCAACAAGCCATGAACAYTCTTACTCTAGATAATTTACATTATTTTCCCTCAACCTAATAAATGTTTATCTAATGTTATCAGTGTTATACCATTAGTATTTCTTGACTAGCATCTACAGTTCCTTGAATGCTTGATACCTTAGCTTTGATCCTGTTCTCTCTAGGTCTGGGTTAGATTTGCTTCCATAGCATGCTAATTATCCATTTATCACATTCTATTATAATTACCTATTTACTTATCTTTTTTAGATCATTAGTATGACAAGGGTAAAGATTATGCCTATTACATCTCCAATGCTTTGAATGCTACATAATACAAAGTGGCCACTAAAAATGATTGAATAATGAACAAACCAACTATCAGATTAAAAGTTGTACTCAGGAAGGCATATTTTACATAGATACTTCCTTTCCCTCCCTTTCTTCTCATAAAACAAATACAAAGTAAGCTATCCTTTCCCCCAATAAACCATTACTTACAAAGGTATAATAATGGATATCTACACATAAAAATTGAATAGAATTCTGAATCTTTGCTTTCTCCTTCATTTCTCCTTGTGTGCCTATATATAAAATTTTCAAGCTGAAAGTTTAAACATGCTTTAAAGAAACTAAGCTGTGGTTGACTTTCTCTTGATCTGCCTGATGCCCAATCTGTTCCCAAATCATCTGTAAACTTGATAGTTTATACATGGAATAAAAAGAACTTATAAGAACACTTTATTTGAACCAGAACACCAAGTGTTAATTAAAGCTGAGCACACCTGCTCTGAACTGAAAAGTCAGAGATTTATGTGAACTTATAAAGTTATGGCTTTCTGACCTCTTGTAGGATTTATATTTCCTTTAAATAAGCATTTTCCCTTTGAAATGCAATTTTTTAAGTTTATTTCAGTGACTAACCTACTCACATAAACAAATACGCTGCTCACTTCCTTTATTACCTATTCTTTACCCTTTTTACCCACTGCTTGTCAAATATTTAATTTAAAGTTTTGGGTGAAAATAAGCAGGCCCAACCATGAGGACTAGAATTTCTTGTTCTAAATTAACTTGTTAATGAGGTAACCTTTAAAAAAAAATCCTTGCATTCAAAAACCATATTTAATCAAGAGTATTTTAATACAGTAATTCATAGACCTGTTCACTCAGTTTGGAAAATATCAGTTACCTTATAGTGTTTTATCACAGGCAAGACTTCTTAGGCTGCAGTGTTTATCTACATATGTAGTCCTTTCAAATAAGACAAAGTTTTTCAATCAAGGAAGACATTCTGATTTTGAGATTTGGATGCTAATGCCTTAAAAGAGGATTCTGTGAGGTTTATTATGAAAGGCAGTTACCTTAGATAGGTTCATTCCCAGCACTGTAAGTGTCACTAAGCCAGCACAACAGACCAAAGCACTAGAGCTGGAGAGGCCAGAACTTGGTGGGATATTTCCATCTACCAGGCAGTTCATTCCAGTCAGGTTACTAAGACCAAAGTGTTCCTAGAAATATAAGGAAAAATAGCAATAGTAGTTTCATAGTTGAATTCAGTGAGTATCAAAATCTTCTTCCAAAAGTTTACCAATAAGGGCTGGGGCTGGGGCTCAGTGGTAGAGTCCTCGCCTAGCATGCAGGAGGCACTGGGTTCGATCCTCAGCACCACATAGAAATAAAATAAAGATATTGTATCCACCTAAAACTAAAAATTAAATATTTTTTTAAAAGTTTATCAACAAATTTACTATCACATTTGTAGAAACTAGTTATATGATTCAAAGTAGTGGAGACGACACATGATATTTGATTTAATGGCTCYTGCCCTTAGACTAAGGTCATCTGAAGATTATTTTTTCCTTTTTTCATCAAAAAGCTACTGATTCATTTCCTGAAATTGCCATGAATGTTCTTTTTCTTGACTATTGATTTGAACAAATATGGAAAAAATACAAAAAGTAGTTATAATTAAGCTTACCAAAAACAAGAAATACACAATCATTAGCAAGGTAGGTTAAAAACTGTGGCTCACATCATCAGCACTGTTATTATAAACATGCCTACACAGTGGCATGTTTCCATGGAGTATCTTGCTTCGAAAGCCGTCTGAAGAAAAAGAGCTCCAAACTTTCTCAGTACTATCTTACTTATTTAAAAAAAAAAAAAAAAAAAAAAAAGCCTAAGCACCAGCAAATTCAGAGACTTTTCCAAGATCACACATAGGAACCTGGGAGTAGGGCCCAGGTCTCTGATTCCCAGTTGAGAACTTCTCTCCCACAGTTAGAAACCTAGGCCAGCATACTGTCACCATGATTTAATATAAGTCAGCTATATGAGGAAATCCAGATTTTTTAGTAGAGTTTATAGATACAATCTAGCCATATGGTAGCTATAAAGACAGTCAAATTATAATTCAACCACAAATGAGAATGCAGACTCCAAATGAGGCAGGAAAACTGTTTCTACAAATCAGACTCTGACTTAAAAGGTGGAAAGTTCTGGGGCTGGGGTTGTGGCTCATCTAGCACGTACGAGGCCCTGGGTTCGATCCTCAGCACCACATAAAAATAAATAAATAAAATAAAGGTATAAAATAAATAAATAAGGGTGGAAAGTTCTAACATACTTACAGGAATATCTAAGACTAGGACACTTTGGATGATATTGCAACCTTTGTGGAATAGGATTAAAAATAAATTTAAAGTTACCTCCTCCTTAAGAAAAAGTACCATCATCTTCACAAATTACTCAAACAACTCAAGACCAAAGAATGAAATACTATTATATTGCCTAATTATGCATTTCATCAGACATATTATTCTAGGGAGAAATTTCAATAAACTAGTTAGAATAACCAAAGTAACAACAAAACTCTGCAAATAAAAGAGTTTTTCTTCTTAATTTTTTTGTCCTTTTTTCTTAGTTGGCAAAACTCATGCACCACAAAAGAAGAGATTCACTTGGATGTACTTCTCTTCTTGATTTCAAGTCATCTAAAAATTTCCTTCCAGAAATACAAACAAATTATAAACTGAAACACTGCTATTGCCAATGCCCTTTCATACCAAACATCAGACAGCTTGTTTTAAAAAAGTAATCCTTGGAAAATTCTATATATTTAACTATAAACTGATCCACAGGGTGTCTTGAATGTGAATCATACTTACAAACTTATCACGCAATGTTTAAATTAAAATGTACAACAGATTCAAAAACGCACATGAGTTGTGCCAAATTCTGTAATAGCTCTATCCCAAAAGGATAACATGTTCAATTTCATATAAACAGATTATCCTCTGGAACTTTCTAGTATTAAGATTTCTGAACAGGCTAACATTTAAATTGCTCTTCTGCCAAAAGTTCATTGTACAAACCTGCTTTTCTACACATAAGTTGTCAAACCAAAGAGGCAGGCTTTAAACCCTAGAAGGCTCAAAAGCAACACAAAACAACAMTCATTATTTAGGCCTCTTTATCCATCTGCTACAAAAAAATCATGTTGTTATAAGAAGATCTTTTATTGCATTTGCCAGGCAAACACTTCCAAATTCCCACTAATGTATAGGATAAGCCAGATGATTTTAGGATTAAAACCCACCAATAATTTCTCCCATAAGTTATGACCTTGTGTCTGGGAGAGAGACACATACACAACAAAGAAATGAATATGGTAACTCTAAGACCAGAATTAGAGTATAGGACTACACATCAGATAAAATTTTGATGCATTTCTGTAATGACAGGTCATTAAGTTCTAGGCTACTCCTGACAAAGTTTCAGAAAGGACCAGCAGGCAGTTAGGAACACAAGGTCTCTAAAATCTAGGTTAGCTTGTTTATTACTGACTCACTTCTTAATATCATTGACCTATGATTCTAAACAAGAGTCACTACATCTAAAACACATASTGAAATATGAAAGTCGTTCTAAAAACAGCAAATATTGATTTTTCTGTTTGTCTTCATACTTTTTTAATTATAAGAGAAAATAGAGATATCATTCATACTTTTTTAATTGTGAGAGAAAATGGAGATATACATTTTCCTGTTCTCGCACATGGCATTAGAGATTTTCAAGGTAATTATTTAATGTTTCTAGGACACTACTTGTACAAATACATTTCACTACATCTTGTTTTTAACCCTACCTGGAGTCGCAATAATAATACTAGTTAGTATTTAATGAAGTCCTACAAGCATCAAGAACTCTGTCATCCTTGTAACAACTCTTTTGGGATAGCAGTGACATCATTTTACAGGTAAATCTGAGACTTAGGTTAAATTAATATAGCTGGATAGAGCCCAGATTGAAACCTGGGGCTGTCCAACCCTAAATCCTTACAATATACTTCTATATATCCAAAGAAAAAACTATAAATAATTTATTAGAATATATCCTTAACAGAAAACATGACTTAAAAACACAATTTAAAGATTTAACCAGACAGATGTTGTCAGATGCACCTGATTTATGAACAGCCAGCTATATGAAAGCCCACTGCTGCCCTCTGTGAATACTACCCAGAAACAGTCATATCTTCCTGCCTTTTGAAACATAAGTTAGCAAAAATAGAAGAGAAACATCAGTTAGTATCGAGAGGAGACCAAAATGATACAGTAAATAAAATAAATGTGACACAATATATCCATTAATCTCAAATGCTAGCATTACCTTATGAACCAATTTACCTGAATTCCTTTAAATCCACATAGGAAATAGTTGTGCCACAAAGGATTTGTTCGGTCAATCTGAATGTTATTTGCACTAGTACTGAAGTCCCTGCAAAAACAAAAGCCACCATTAATTTAAACCTTAGGCCTTAAACTGCGAAATCAATGGCAGACTACTGCCATCTTGTGCTAAGACAGTGATACTGACATCTCCTTTTCCCTTTACTTTCAATATATGTACTTCAGTCTACTCCAAAACAATGAACATCTCCAGCTGCTAAAAGTTAAGAGAGGAAGTTGTAGTAGCCTTAATGACTAAACTGCTTTAACTGACCTCTTTTATTTCCTGAAACAGAGAGGAACCAATATATTTTAGTATAATCTACAACCATTTTCTCTTTCATGTTAGTCCTTGTTAAGTTGGTGTAAACCACATGAATGCTTTATCCTCTGGGCCTGCAGTTTGGCAGACCCCCAACTGAAACAGGAGTACTCAAAGCCCTCTTTCCCCACACTCTCTGCCACACATCCTATTTGACCATCTGTGGAATTTAAGAAAAAGAAATAACAAGCAAAACAAATAATTATTCTAATGGATCATAACCCATTGGGGGGGGTAAGATTCTATGAATCTATACTAATGTAAATTAACAAATGAATAAATAGCTAAATGAATGAGAAAACTCTTTTTTGTATTAAAATGCCAACAAATAAATGTAGAAGAAATTATACAGAAATAAAAAAATCACTTTATGCTGAATTCCATGATAATTGTTTCAGGAAAAAATCATCAATAGATGTTAAAATTACAGAGTAAAAATCTTATGATGGGGCTGGAGTTGTGGCTYAGTGGTAGAGCACTCGCCTAGCACGTGTGAGGCCCTGGGTTCAATCCTCAGCACCACATAAAAATAAATAAATAAAATAAAGAAGATATTGTGTCCAACGACAACTAAAAAATAAATATTTTTTTAAAAAATCTAATGAGAAAAAGATATTTACATAGAGTCTAAATGCGTCCCCACCAAATATTTTTAATTAAAAAATAATAACTTTATGGTAAAAAATATCTGGCAGACATCACCTTAACCAAATATTCAAAATTAACATCACCAATAAAAGGATATCATGTGCTTCCTTGATATAATGCATTGAGGATATATTCCTGGATATGTGTTCAGTCTTCTTAGTCACTATTTTGTGACTTCTGTGAAGAAAACTTGAAATGAAAGATAAATAAATAGATAAGACAGTCAAAGAATAAAATACAGGAATGTTGCAAGGATCAATAGAAAAGAGAAAAGCAAGGYAAGATCCCCCATGTTGAATCAATGTTTTCCATATAATTTATTAAATATCTACTATGTGCCAGTCTTTGAAATCAATACCTTCCATGCATTTCTTAACTCAGTAACATGAATACATCATCTCTACCAAAAAATAGTTAGTGACTGATCACTTAAGTGCACAAGATATGCAGAGGAATATAAAGGTAAAAGGCAGAGGACTTGTCTTAAGAATTTGTAATGTAGCCAGGATGCCATGAATACAAACCACTACCATACAGTACAGTTATGTGATAATGTGTAATATGAAGTGGGATATGAGGCTGAAAGGGTATTATTTCTATAGTCCAGCAGTGGACAAAGAGTAAAGGCCTTTCAGGAGGCTCAGAAAGGTTTAGTGACTTTCCAAGGACACAATCTGACTTCAGCTCACAAACATTTCATTCTGTTATTACCCATGGAAGTCAACAAAGGGTTACAGAATTTGGAAGCAGATAAAATTTATGTTAGCAAATCTGATGGACTGTGTTCCTAGTTAAGAGAGGATCTTGAAAGTCACAAAGAAAAGAAAATGTGTATATTCAGAAAAGTGGAAGAAAATTGTAAAGAGGTAGAAAGCTAGATAAGCAACATTAAAGAAAAAAGGTGAATAGTTCAACTTCCTACAGAATTAAAGGTATAGGCTGTCTGTCATAGGGGGGAAAAAACGCTCTTTAGTTAGCTAATTAATTATTGCTTTTTCCAGTATCCTTGTCTGGCCTTTCTGCTTAGTCATTTCCTAAATTTCAAACCCAGTMACTCATTTTCCCAGCAACCTCACTCCTGCATTCTATCATCTGTATGTTTTCTCTACTCCTGCCCCCATGTTGTAGAATTCTGAGAATAAAGTTCCTGAAAATGAGCATAAATGATTCACTACATTGATACTTTCCACTTATATATTTTACTCATTCATTCACTTGTTCTTCCAACATTTTCCTAGTGTCTATCCTGTTTGTATGACTGGTATAGGGCTAGAAAATGTACAATAATAATAGCATCAAGAATGTGAAATATTTAGAAATTTGACAAAAGATGTAAAAGAAATGTATCCTGAAAATGACAAAATATTTCTAAGAGAAACTGAAGACCTAACTAAAAGGGGAGAAAGATTCATGGACTGAAAGATTCAAAATTGCTAAGAGCCAATTCTCTCCCAAATTATATATTCAGTACAACTCTAATCATAATTTTGGCATGCTTTCTCATAGAAATTGAATAGCTAATTCTAAAATTACTAAGCAAAGGCAAAGACTTAGAATAACCAAATCACTTTGAAAAAGACAACATTAGGAGACTTATACCACTTGATTTCAGGATGTGTTATAATGCTATAGTTATCAGACAGTATGTTAATGGAATAAAAATAGGTCAAGGGGATAGAATAGAATACAGAAATGCCTATTGGTCTATTTGTCTATCTTTATGCCAATAAGTGGTGGGAAAATAACTGGATAGCCATATGCACAAAAACAAATCACAACGTTTATCTCATAGTACATACATAAATGAACTAAAAATGGATCATATACCTAAATGTAAGAGCTAAAACTAGAAAACTTTTAGAAAAAATGTAAGAGCTAAAACTAGAAAACTTTTAGAAAAAAACATAGGGAAATCTTTAAATGATCTTGGATTTTGCAAAGAGTTCTTTAGTACAGTTAAAAAATATAAATTATAAAGGAAATCATAGGATTTCATCAAAATTTTTCTTTTCTCCTCACTAGTAATTATAATGTACAATTAAAAAGTTAACTAAAATAAAATCTTTCTTTCCTCAAAATACATGGTAAAGAAAGTGAAAATTTAAGTCATATACCAGATGAAAATATTTGCAAAACATGTCTGACAAGGACTTATACTACACAAGAAACTCTTACTGGGTCAATAATAATATAAGATTTTTTTAAAAAACTAAAAATGGGCAAAGATTTACATAAATCCTTCAACAATGAACATATCTATTGCTATGATTTAAATATGTGTACCCCAAAACTCCTGTGTAAGACAATGCAAGAAGGTTTAGAAGTGAAATGATTAGGTTATGAGAGCTATATATTGGGTTATAATCCCTGATAGGGATTAACTGAGTGGTAAATGTAGAAAGGTAGGATGTGGCTGGAAAAGTGTGTCCCTAGGGGGAATCCATTTGTGATATAGAGCTCTCTCTCTGCATCCTGGCCATGTCCTGAGCCACTTTCCTCTACCATACTTTTCTATTATGATGTTCTACATCACCAGGAGCTCTGAGGAATAGAGTAGGCCATCTATGGACTGAGAGCTATGAAACCATGAGCCCCCAAGTAAACTTTTATTCCTTAAAATTGTTTTTGTCAAGTCTTTTGGTCACAGTAATGAAAGAGCTAGAAGAAAAATTGGTACCAGGAGTGGGGTCACTGCTTCAACTAACCTGACCATGTGGTTTAGAATCTTTTACAGCTTTTTGGAATTCATGGAAGGAATTTTGGAAAGTTAGTGATGCAAGCTGGAAAAGCATTAAAATGTTGTAGTGGGCCTTAATTAGGCAACTCTGATGGGAGTTTAGAAGACCAGAATTGAGTATGAACAGCAAAGATTGGGGTCATGAGGTTTCAGAGAAGGAGAACTCAATTGGAAATTAAACTAGAGACCATTAGTGTTACATTCTGGCTAAGATTTTGCTTAGATTCTGTCTGCATTTTGCTTGTGTCCTGAGAATTTCTGAGAGGCTGATTTTTAAAGTGAGGGACTGCTTAATTTGGCAGAAGAAATTTCTAAGCAGCATAGTATTCAGGTAGTGCCACAGATATTGCTGGTGGCTTTTAGCAAAGTTAATTGTGATAAACAGATGCATAAAGATTGAAAAACTTGCATTTGGCCAGAAAACTGTAGGTAAAACCAGGGCTAAGGAATGTGTGGTTGTTAAAGACATTACAGCCATTAAAGACCTAAAGAGCATGCTACAGGGACACTGCTACATCGATGTTCATAGCAGCACAATTCACAATAGCAAGACTGTGGAACCAACCTAGATGCCCTTCAATAGACAAATGGATAAAAAAAAATGTGGCATTTATACACAATGGAGTATTACTCTGCATTAAAAAATGACAAAATCATAGAATTTGSAGGGAAATGGATGGCATTAGAGCAGATTATGCTAAKYGAAGCTAGCCAAKCCCTAAAAAACAAATGCCAAATGTCTTYTTTGATATAAGGAGAGTAACTAAGAACAGACTAGGGAAGAAGAGCACGAGAAGAAGACCAACATTAAACAAGGATGAGAGGTGGGAGGGAAAGGGAGAGAGAAGGGAAATTGCATGGAAATGGAAGGAGACCCTCAGGGTTATACAAAATTACATACAAGAGGAAGTGAGGGGAAAGGGAAAAATAATACAAGGGGGAGAAATGAATTACAGTAGAGGGGGTAGAGAGAGAAGTGGGGAGGGGAGGGAAGGGGAGGGGGAATAGTAGAGGATAGGAAAGGCAGCAGAATACAACAGACACTAGTATGGCAATATGTAAATCAATGGAAGTGTAACTGATGTGATTCTGCAATCTGTATACGGGGTAAAAATGGGAGTTCATAACCCACTTGAATCAAAGTGTGAAATATGATATGTCAAGAACTATGTAATGTTTTGAACAACCAACAATTTAAAAAAAAAGGAAACTAAAAAAAAAAGAAAGAAAGAAACACTACAGGCTTTGACCATTAACAATAAGAAAGATGAATTGTGGGCTCTCAGGAACTGGCAAGACCACACCCATCTCAGGCTCAAGGGTGTAAAAGTAAAAGTTTCTT